AGTGAAAGAGAAGACGTTGCTTGAATTTGGTCATTGGCCATTATTAATTTTCACTTTAATTCTCATCTGCAAGGTACTAGCATGCAGGCCAGGTGAACACGGTATCTCCTCCCCTCACGCTGGAGGTCTGAGCAGCTCATGCCTGTGTGCTCATTGCTCTCACTAGGGACTGTCTCACAGAGAAGTCCCAAGTCCTGTAGCTTTCTGCTGCTCCTGAACGCTCTTCTCGGGCTCAGACAGCAAAAGACCAATTTGGGGCACGGGGTCTGACCCCCCGTCTGTGCTGCCTGTACAGCTGCTCAGCAGGCAGCTGGGATGTCTGGGTCTGGGTCAGCTAGGGAGTCACTGCTGCTGCTTTTCAGGCTGGTGCAGAGAGGGTCGTATCAGGGAAGATGAACTTTTAAATCCTAAGTTAATTGCATTCTTTTGAGCCTGTCCAAAAATAAAACCTGGGGGAAAAAAAGACATTTCAAGAATGTAATACAACTCCCAAGTTACCTGCAAAGAAAGTGCAATCTAGTGCAGTGTGCTTTGAATGTCCCACTCTGTTCCTTCAGTTTTCTTCTGATTTCTTGTGCTTCAGCCTGTGTCCAGGTATTGCAGGTATCTGCTTTGTCTGTGAAAATGAAATACCAGGAGGAATTGCACTTGGTGCAACTTGTTCATGTTTAGGGTTTAATCCACAAGAGGAGCAGGCTGCCCTGGGAGTCCTGAGTTGGACCATGCACAATAAGAGAGAGGCGTTAGGTGCCCAAGTCTGGCAAGTTTAAAGAGATGTTGTCATTAAAAAAGCTGAAGAACGAGCAGGAAGGACTAGGAAAGACTGATATGAAATCTCCTATGTCCTCTTGGCTCACGTACTCATGCAGACGGGTGGTGGGTGCCCAGGTAGTGCTAGCAGGCAGAAAAGTAGAGATTTCGGGATTTTTACGGGGCTTAGATACGATCTGGGGGTGCCTGTGGTTGAGTTGTGCCAGCTTCTGGGGATATGTTCACTGCAAGAAATAGGGGCACTGGTAGAAAACTGGGCATGCACTTTTATATGCCTCTGAGGCTAAGGAGAAGCAGAACGGAGTTTATCAAGGATCTTGGGAGTAAAGGAACATTAAACTTAACACTCTAAGTGCACAGAGTAGCCATCAGATGCACAAATCCCTTGGGGATTCCCCCTTGGGGAACCCAGCTCTGGGAGCCAATCCAACTTCCCTTGAAGTCAGTAGGAACCGTAAAGGGTCCTGCAATATCACCACTGTGACCAATGGTACCAAAAAGACTCAGAAACATTTAAATCGTATTACAACAGACTGTGTGTCTGCCTTTGACTGGACTCAGAAACTAAGTACAGAAATAGCAGTACAATTTTATATTACTTCACTATATTTCCCAGGCAGGAACAGGTAGTTTGAAAACAAAATTTACAAACATTTAAACAGGTCCCTAATCATATTTATAATATTTACCCTTTAAAAGCAACTTATTGAAAAAATAAAACCCCTTAATTTGCAAATTTGTTATCATAAAATATAGTTCTTGAGCTCACAGAATGTTAGTGCATTTGAACACGTTTTTATGAGTAAAATTATAAACCTACATAATTGTGCTGTGGCTTGGGATCTTATCTATCCAAACTCTTAGGACCTTTGGGACAGAGCCCATCTGCCTTGATTTATGCAGCACTTCACACAGCAGGGTCCGTTCTAATGAGTAATAGCCCCCATGATGGCAAATGTACCAAGACACAACCCTAAGGGAGGTCTAGCTGCAGAAAGAGAGCAGACCCCCATACACACTCGTAATAAACAAACACATAAATCATCACAGTTAAAGAGATTTACCCCTGGGGGTAATCCCGAGGGAAAAGAACCAATTTTTATTCTTTTGGTTCCCTGCCTCTGCTGTTTCCAAAAATGGTCCCTGCAGGTCTGGAAGTCACTTTCCTGAACTGGGTCTTTGCAGTCGGTCTTTGAGTCTTTCCCAGACCACGACCTACCCCTAAACATCCAGCTTAAGTTTCTCCTTCAGTGGGCTTCAAATTAGGATCGCCAAACACTTTGACCTCTGCCTGCTTCTTCACAGTGCCACTCAAACGTAGCATCTGAGATGGAGTGCACAGACAGGCAGGCGTATGGACGCATGGACCTTAGGGGGTCTCTCTCCCACCAGGGAAGCTCCTGCCAGATGCATGCCTCTTGAATGTGGTCTCTGCCATACCATGTACTCTTAAGCATGAGTTTGTATCAGGTAGACACAGAACACAAACATCATTGAGTGTTTCTGGCCAGGCGCATCTTGAAAAAGCTGTGACTACGTTTACAGTATGACACAGATCCACGTGATGGTTCATCTGCTGCTTTGGTTCCTTCTCCTTCAGGCAAAAGATACAACCACTACCATACTTCAGCTGGCAGGCTCAAGTGTGCAAACCCTCAAATTAAAAGTTAGTTTTCTGAGGTTAAATTCCAAAACATTTGCACTACTACAAATTTAAAGGAAAGCAAATCGATGGATACCCCAAACCCACGCAAAACAAAGTAACATAAATGAACAACAGCGTAAAATATCTACATGAAACTTCATGGAAATATTTTCAAACATTTCTAATATTCCTAGCTTGTTTTCACTAGCTTTTTCAATTTATTCAGCAATCAACCTAGTACTCGTGATCTCGCCTATAATTACCCAAGTTGTTTTCAAGACTTTTGTGGCTTCTCAGAATCCAAGCTTAAGTTATATTTATTGCTGGAATCTGAAGAAGCCTTTTTATTAATACCTTCACAGTACTCAAGGAGTGGCATAATACAGAGAATTTAGAGAAACAATGCAGAGCTTTGCACGTATTTCTGAAAGAGATTTGCAGCAATTCCTTCTCACGCATTTGTGATGCTAAACTAGACACTTAGACCAGGTTTGCTTGAAGATGCTTCTGGTTCTTCAGTGGTTTGGGCTAGCACAGGTTAAATATGACTTAAGACAGTAGCAACAGCCTTAGGCCAATTTATGACTTAGTACCAATGTTTTGGGGGAAGCCAGCTTCTGGAGGAGCTCCACAGCAATGCTTTTCCGTATATCCTTCACAATCAGATTTCTGGGAAAGAAGTACAGGATTGGGGCCCCCAAAGAACTGCAAGGAAATCATTTGCATGGATCTCTGTAACAATACTGCAGAAATAAAAGATGCAAAATTAGGACAACAGAGAGCCTACATTCATTTTAGCTACTTATTTTCATGTAAAATTAAATAAGAATTTCAGTGGTGATGCAAACATTTGACACCAGAGGTGGGTACTGGCTTCTCTTGCATTAAATGAAGTCAGTACCGAAGTTGGCAATTGCCTGTTTTCAGTAATTCAGCAGGTCGGAATACTTTTGAACATTTTAACATGGTTCTTGATAATTGTCTCGCTTTTAATAGTTAGGTAGCAGGTAGTGTTTCAGACAAGAGTAGCTATAAACCAACATTTATAGTCAGGGGAATTCAGCCCACCCTCTACCATTAAAGTCAGCAGGATCATTCAAGTGAAGCACAGTCACCCTAGAGCTGGTGTAACTGTGGTCACCTACGTGTATGTTATATACAGGCCGGCTATGAGGAATTGCTGAAGAGCATCAAGTACAAAGTTCAGGGCCAGATCCAGACTTCAACAAATGGTGAGATACTGGTTTAGCCAAACCTTATCAACCCTGAGTTTGAATCTGGAGCCGAACTTGCCCATTTTAGGCATTTTAACCCACAGTTTGGGTTCAGGCTATGTTCTGAAGAACAACATGTTGGTTTTGACACCATCACAACCATGTACACCGTTTTCTATAACTGCATCAGATTCTGCATCAAAGACATCCAAGTCTCTTCCAAAAAAACCCTTTGGGGAAAATTATAACATTACAGTAAAGATGTTACTGCATATTAGAGAAGACTTAGAAAACTCCCAGAAACTAAAATGCTGAACGCGCCATGAATACCAAGGCTGTCTCTGGATTTAAAACTTTGCAGTAGTTTACAGTGATAATTCCACCCTAATCACCATTTTATTTTTATTAAAGAAACAAAAGGAATTTCAAAAACTCTACCTAGAATCACTTGTTTCTGCCAAGCGGTTGTTCATGATGGCTAGAGCACCCACCCCTGCGGAGAAACCATTTTGTCTCGTATTGATACAAACGTTCCTTGGGTAGCCATTGGCTGTCTCAGACAACTGCTTTTGCAAAATGGCCAGGGAGACTTTATTCGATGCCGTGAGCTCCCTCATGGAGATCATCTCTCCAGAGAGCCTCCTCCCCTCGGTGTCACTGTCGTACTGTCCATCAGCGTCCATTGAGATGTTATGTCGACGCAGGCGGGCTCCTGGGGTGATGGCGTTGCGACGTCCGAGGCGGGCACTTGATTTATGGCACTTTGGGCAACATCTGCATTCAAATTTTTTCAATACCCAGTTCAAAACTTGCTTGATTACGATTGAGATGACATTAAAAAGGGAGTATATGCAACATACCCCCATTAATATAAATATGAAGTTTCCGAATCTGTATAATCCCTGATTTTGGTACGCAGCGTTTTGGCTGCTTACCAAATCTCCAAAGCCAATGGTGCTGAAGGTGACAAAGCAATAGTACAAGGAGTCAACGTAGTTCCATCCTTCCACTGCTGTGTACATTGCGGAGGCGCAGCAGGAAAGGGTAATAGCAAACATTCCCAAAATCAATAGCACGTGGTAAACAGACGGCTTCCACCCCACAAGGCTGCCCACCCCCGACATAGCTGGCCCCCTTCGGAAGTTGGGAGGTAGGAGACCACTTCTTCGCAGCTGTCTCTCGTGGCACGCCTTCATAATAAAGGCCAGGAGAGAGATAATGCGCTCCAAGAAGAGGTTGAAGAAAAGGATAGTCCCAGCGCACCCAAAAAGGCCATAAACGATGAGGAATACTTTTCCAGCCACGGTTGCTGGTGTGGTCATCCCGAAACCTAAGGTGTAGAGATAAAAGAGTAATGTTAGTGACATGGGTTTTCACGCGTAAGCGCAGGATGTACGTAACTTAACAAAGGTCCCACCTCACTGGACAAAAGAAGGAGGGCTACCTCTAAGTCAGCTTAGGCCAACAGGAAACGGAGTTTTGTAAAGAATGAAGAAGGCACCAGGAACCTCAACGAGATGACCAAAACTCAAGACAGAGCAAAACATCCTTGCAGAGATGAAAGATGATATTGACAGGGAAACACCTCTCTGTAAATGCAGATGGAAGCATTCCTGAGCCCAGACCACCTCGAGATGAGACGAAGTGAAGAGGCCGCTTCCTTGCTCCTAGGCGCGTGAGCCAGCGTGGCCTGATGGAAAGTTTAAGCTCTCTGTTGACAAGCTGTAACCCAGCGTAACGCTACTGTTATCGAGGGCTAATAATACCACTCCTGCTGAGAAGGTGGAAGGTTTCAGGCTGTATAACAGAAAAAAACCAAACACCTCCCAAAGATCGAATATCCTTTCAAAAGTAACAGCACTTTCAAGTCTTACCCAAACCCCAGCTGCGCCCAGCCCACCTGACACAATCACAGAAGGAAGGAAAAGCCATGGCCCCATTTTAAGTCGTTGGTGAGACAGCCCCGCTGCAGAGCTCCCTGTGAGCACTAGGATCTTGCAGACCGATAATTACATCAGGGAAAAACACCGCCGCACAGTTAAACAGAAAAATCAGAGTATACAAACTCTAGAAAGATCCATCAGCAATACTAATTCACCTCTTCTTTACAAGAATTGTCTTTTGACATTTGTCATACATATAATTTTAAATATAAGCAGTAATGCCTTGTAGCTATAGATGCTTAAGTAACAGCAAAAATGATCTTAAATTTGCATGCAAAGAAATACAGTAAGTTTGCTCCATGTTATTTGCTGATATCAGTTATTTTATGAAAAAGAATTACATATATTTCACATACTATCTTAGGAAGATTCTTCTGAAACTCAGCTCTGTAGGTATTGCCCTTGTTCTGCTATTCTTCCCTGTAAAACTGCTGGGTGGTTTAGTCAAAAAGTGTACGGATGGGATTGAGGTGACTGCTCACATCCCATGAATAAATAACCGCATCTAATCTAAATTAACAGTTTGTGAAAAATCCACATGCTGAAATTCTTTACCTTATTGTTCCACGAAAATGCTGAGCAAGTAACATATTCAGGGAGGTAAATACCAACATCAGACCACATCAATGAAAGTTTGTGAAGAAAAAAGAGCTACTTTTGGCATAGAACACAATAAAATCATTAAATCCAGTTTGTTATCATGATGCGCCTTTAAACAGCAACAGGAAAATACTCTCTATGTATAATGAGTTGATTGCTGCTTGAAATCTATTGATTTATTTTTGTAATGGCTGTATTTTTCTGGTTAATTTATTTGTGCTACCTTTTTTACTTTATTGATATAGAATTTCACATCTGTCGATAAAAGAATGTAAATGCTCGTGACAAGTAAACATGAAGGTGCACGATGATGAAAGAGGTGGTCCTACTTTCACAGCACATTTGGCATGGTTGGAAACAGCTGTGTGACAGCAATTTGGACTGTACTGCATCATCCATGTCTTCTTTGCCAGTATCAGAACTAGTGTGGCCAGCAGGAGCAGGGAAGTGATCGTGCCCCTGTACTCGGCACTGGTGAGGCCGCACCTCAAATCCTGTGTTCAGTTTTGGGCCCCTCACTACAAGAAGGACATTGAGGTGCTGGAGCGTGTCCAGAGAAGGGCAACGAAGCTGGTGAGGGGTCTGGAGCACAAGTCTTGTGAGGAGCGGCTTAGGGAACTGGGGTTGTTCAGTCTGGAGAAGAGGAGGCTGAGGGGAGACCTTATCGCTCTCTACAACTACCTGAAAGGGGGCTGTGGTGAGGTGGGTGTTGGTCTCTTCTCCCAAGTAACTAGTGATAGGACGAGAGGAAATGGCCTCAAGTTGTGCCAGGGGAGTTTTAGATTGGATATTAGGAAAAATTTCTTTACGGAGAGAGTGGTCAAGCAATGGAACAGGCTGCCCAGGGAGGTGGTGGAGTCACCGTCACTGGAGGTGTTAAAAAAACGCGTAGACGTGGCACTTTGGTTTGGTGGGCATGGTGGTGTTGGGTTGATGGTTGGAGTTGATGATCTTAAAGGTCTTTTCCAACCTTAACGATTCTGTGATTCTGTGTGATTCACAGTAGAAACAGTCTTTTCAATAAAAGACAGTGAAAAACTTCCACAGTATTAACAGAAAATTAAAAATTAACAAAGCGGTCATTGGATTCTGTTTTCTGGACCCATGGCCTCTCCATGTCATTGTGCTAAAAGACTACCATTGAGCAGATCTCACACAGCCTGCCTTGGGGTCCCAGGTTTAACATGGGGGAATGGGAAGCTCCTCTCAGTTCCCCCTCCTCTGTGGGGTAAAGCCAATACCTGGGTCAGACTGGCTGCTCATGGGAGCCTTCTCATTTGATGATGAATATCCACTAGTGTCTGGTCCCCAAAAGCCAGGGAGCCTGTGGCAGTTGCCAGCTCAGGATACCCAGCCAACTCGTTATGGAGAAGGCATCTGTTCGCCCATGCCTTGTCAGCAAAGCATTTAAACATGTGCATCACAGCAAGCATGTGAACATCACCATCAAAATAAATGGGTTTATTGTCACACATATGGCTAAACACATTTATTAATAAAAAAAAAAAGAGAGAGAGTGACAGTTTGGACCAAGTTGTAAATGCGCTGAAGCTTTTTAGTATTTTCTGGTGATCATTCATGAGAGGTGGTGAAGTTTTGTATTTTAGATGCAGTTTAAGCATGATTTTCTGTAGCATAATGTTACCACAATTCAGTCTGTAGCTATGCAAGGTGAAAGGACCCATCATGACAAGAAGAGTGCCGAGACTGTAAAACTGGCAAAAAGGTAGACCAGGCAGACCTAGTAACCTCAGGTCAACAGCCAGCAGATAGAGGTACTCTTCATACAGCATCTTCCTTCGCTAGCTGCGTTTGTTTCTTTGGCACCACCTGGACCACGAGGGGTTAGTCCTGGTGTGTTCTGAACAACAGGTCTGAGCACAGCCCCTGCTCAAGGCTAAGTACATCATGATGCCTGGGTGAAATTAATTCATCCAGAACTGCCTGTGCTTCTGAAACAGCACAAGGAAAGAAGCACAACAGTGCTTTGCATTTTTCATGGCCCTGACATATATTGTACAGGTACCTCAGGGTTGATTTTGTGTGGCTCAGACACAATATTTCAACCTCCCTTATGCTAATTCTGCCCCACTCTGACCCACCACTTCAGATACAAGCTCTACAGCAGCATTAATTTCAGCTGTTTGATACTTCTTCTGCCCAAACTAACAGAATTAGTAGAGCTGAGTTGATAAAAACACGCAGATAACACTCTTCAGCAGCCTCTCATGGGTAAGTGCTGGCAATTAATGAGTCCCTCATCCTGACTTGCATAATAGGTTTTGCAGTTACTATTCTGCTCATCTGGACTTTTAATTTACTTAAGCTGGTGATGGATTTAAGAGGTAGTGCTACTGCACAAACTTGTGAAGACTTACATGCCTTATGATATGCTTCCTGTTGCTCTTCATTTCTTTTCTTTTACCCTTTTTCTTGTAGGTAAAAGAGATGGTTGGTGCCAGAAAACAAGAAGGAATAGCGGTTTTAGTATCCGTGAGCTCTTCTCTCAGGCCAATCGGTTTGGCGATTACCTTGTCTTATTGTATTTTGAGATTAAAGGGGTTGACAGTTTTCCAGTAAAGATATACTTAGCCAGAGATGGAGGAAAGTTTTGGTCACCTTGAAAACTGACCACAAGAAAGTCTCAGCCTTTACCATGGCATTGTGTGTCCCTGCAAGCATCATGTGTCCCCGCTTCTTTTGGCTAGGGCCTCAGGTCTTAGAGAGGCATCCTGCCATGGGACTTGCCTCATACAGCAAGTGAGCACAACTGAGCAATCATTTTAAATCCCAGGTGTGATCATGAGAGTAGCATCACCTTTATCACCTCTCCATAATTCCGTTATATTTAAAGGAATTAAAAGAAACTAAAATTGCTGAATATAACTTTTTAAACAAATGATTTTGCAGAAATGAACAAAAAAACCTATGACCAGAATGCTGCTTCCAGAGGGAAAGAACATAACATAAAAAATAAGCTCTTACAAGGCTGGTCCCCAAGAGATGTGGGTTACAGAACACAGGCAGATAAACTAAGAGCAATCAATTTTGTTTCATGTCTGTTCCCCACTTGCTTTAGTTCATGGCTTTCCACAGTCTTGGTTGGTCTTTATTGCCTAACATGTATACTGCATCAAGTAAGACAATACCATATTCAGAATTTTGAGACTAAAATCCCTATTTTGGATTCAACCGCTTTTCCATCTGTTAGCATTTCATCATTATTGCCCCCAATAAGAGTCGTACCTGTATATTTCGCAACTACCTCTCGTTTATTCTATAGCTCCTTACCACCTAACACCCAGTAACAGTTGCCTTGGATACAGGGTCACAGCTCAGAGCAGACAAAACTGCCGCAGATGGAAACCTTCTGCTGCATCCAGAGCTTTTACCCAATGAGTGAGAATACTACGAGGCAGTTCTTCCACCTGGCTTTTCATTTTCAGACTGCAAATAAAAAACATACTTTCCTTTTAACATCTTTGTCTGCCCGCTTTATTAAAATACCCACCTCTGGGCTCAAACAGCACATTTTTTCAGAGCTTTTCCATTGGCCAGAGCCTTTAATATCAAAGTTGCTGTACAATCGCATTTAATCTTATTTAGATTACTATCTGAAAACAGAACTCCTGAACAGCAGAGGTCTGTCCAGCACTGTGTGCATTAAGACACTTTAAGTTAAGTCATGTCACCATGCTAAGTCTGAAGACATAAGATACCACTGCAGTTTTTAGGGCTGGTCTAACCTGTATCATACACAAGCTTGCAGTTCTTGGTGACTCATGTACTGGAGCAGATATCCCATGGAGAAAATACTGAGTGAC